GGGGGGGGGAGAACAAAATGTAAGTTATTTTTTAGGGGGGGGGATGTTATAAATCCAGCTACAGTGCGCTTACAAACTTCTTTTTCTTTATGTACATGTCTTTGTGTTAATGTTTTGTTGCCATGTGTGCTAACTACGCCGAATATTACATACAATATTCACCCTGAAACCAAATATAGAATTGCTGGGCATGAATAGAAGAATGCCCACGTGCGACCAAAAAGGCCCTACGGGTCCTACCGGTACCTGGAGACTAGTCTTATCATGAACATAAATAAGGTCCCAACCATATAACTATGACATCCCATCCAATAACCATTTATTTTATTGCTGGGCATAAATATATAAACACAATTATTCTACCAGAATTAGCACAAGGATTTGTCCTGCCCTTGATGACTTATACACAAGGCCATAACACGGAAACAATTGAGATCCCCATTCTATGACCATATCTGATTTCTGGGCATTAAGATAAGCCCTGAGGTCTGGCCTCACCATTGATAATTATTATTGGGAACCATTGAAATTTTCGATAAACGGAAAATACCTCCGGAACAATCGGAAACCATCGGTGCTTTATGTAAACGAGTACTTTCATATTATTAAACTTTTATTTGTTTAAACTTATATGAATTGCAAGGATGAAAGCGTACAGGAGATCTAAATGTGTTTGGAAACTGAATTACACGGAGGAAACCCCATGTGATCGGGTAGTTGATCCCATACCTTTTCACGTCAGATCGGGGAATCGAACTCTGGCCGCCTTGGTAAATGGCAATTGCGGTATCTTCTGCGCCAAACGACGACCCGTTTACGGGTAGTGCCGATGGTCCCCGATTGGCAAATTCGTACCGAGTTAAAATCGTATGTGAAAACCAAAATCTCTAACTTGCACATGTCTATCATATAAAAAGTTAGTACTGAGTATCTGTTTTGAAATCGTTTTGCTTCTGTTAGCCTGTCGGGCCTCAAACTTGCGAATCAGTGATGTAGATGTATAGGCTATAAGCACGTACTTGTAGGTGAGAACACGGCTAACTCACTAGAAACCTGTGGCGGTTAGTTCCGTAAGTACCTTTGGTGGTTAGTTCCCTAGATGCATGTGGTGGTAAGTTAGTAATAATAATAATAATAATAAATAATAATAATAATAATAATAATAATAAATAATAATAATAATAATAATAATACTCTTACAACTAACATAAGCTCTGTAAAGCTTTTATAACGACGCCGCTAAGGGAACAAATGGTGTTTTCATGGTGGAGGAAAACCCACGGGGGGAAAACCACCGTGCCATCGGAAGGATATCAGACATCACTCTCTTATTTCCACCACCGTTGGTGATCGAACCGAAATTCTTGGGAGAGCGAGTGGTCTGAAACTCACGCTTGATAGCACACAGTAGTACAATGACTGTGCGCGTTAGCGATAGCGGCTACCGAGTCACCGAAGTTCCCTTGGTACATGTGGTGGTTAACTCCCTTGGTACATGTGGTGGTTAACTCCCTAGATACATGTGGTGGTTAACTCCCTCGATACCTGTGGTGGTTAGTTCGATAGATACCTGTGGTGGTTAGTTCCATAGATACATGTGGTGGTTAACTCCCTAAATACATGTGGTGGTTAACTCCCTAGATTCATGTGGTGGTTAACTCCCTAGATACATGTGGTGGTTACCTCCCTCGATACCTGTGGTGGTTAGTTCGATAGCTACCTGTGGTGGTTAGTTCCATAGATACATGTGGCGGTAAATTCCCTAGATATCTGTGGTGGTTAGTTCCATAGAGACATGTGATGGTTATTTCCATAGATACAAGTGGTGGTTAACTCCCTAGATATCTGTGGTGGTTAGTTAGTTCCATAGATACATGTGGTGGTAAATTCCCTAGATATCTGTGGTGGTTAGTTCCATAGCTACATGTGGTGGTTAACTCCCTAAATATCAGTGGTGGCTAGTTCCATAAATACATGTGGTGGTTAACTCTCTAGATACATGTGGTGGTCAACTCCCTAGATATCTGTGGTGGTTAGTTAGTTCCATAGATACATGTGGTGGTAAACTCCCTAGATACATGTGGTAATAAACTCCCTAGGTACATGTGGTGGTTAGTTCCCTAGATACATGTGGGGGTTAACTCCCTAGATACATGTGGTGGTTAGTTCCGTAGATACATGTGATGGTTATTTCCATAGATAGGTTAACTCCCTCGATACCTGTGGTGGTTAGTTCGATAGATACCTGTGGTGGTTAGTTCCATAGAGACATGTGATGGTTATTTCCATAGATACAAGTGGTGGTTAACTCCCTAGATATCTGTGGTGGTAAGTTCCCTAGATACATGTGGTGGTTAATTCTCTAGATACCTATGGTGATTAGTTCCATAGATACATGTGGTGGTTAGTTCCCTAGATACATGTGGGGGTTAACTCCCTAGATACATGTGGTGGTTAGTTACATAGATACATGTGATGGTTATTTCCATAGATAGGTTAACTCCCTCGATACCTGTGGTGGTTAGTTCGATAGATACCTGTGGTGGTTAGTTCCAAAGATACATGTGGTGGTTAGTTCCATAGATACCTGTGGTGATTAGTTCCATAGATACATGTGGTGGTTAGCTCCCTAGATACATGTGGTGGTTAACTCCCTAGATATCTGTGGTGGTTAGTTCCCTAGATACATGTGGGGGTTAACTCCCTAGATACATGTGGTGGTTAGTTCCATAGACACATGTGGTGGTTAACTCCCTAGATACATGTGGTGTTCAACTCCCTAGATATCTGTGGTGGTTAGTTCAATAGATACATGTGGTGGTTAACTCCCTAGATACA